GCTATTGTTAATCATACGCCACTGCAAATATCTGTCACTATTTAAATAATTGTATTTCATAGTTGCGCAAATAGGGATGTCAGTCTCCATATCATTTCGGGATGTCTGTCTCCGTATCGTTTCTATCCGCGCAATCAAAAGCACACACCTCAGTTTTAGTAGAACTACGCAAAATGAGATGGATATCCCTCGTTGCCGTCGTCTAACCTCCAGTGTTCAAGGTATTCCTACATTGGTAGTAACTAAGGTAGAATAACCAACGCAATCTAAAAGAAGCTGATTCGTACATTTTACTTCCTGATTGCAGTGCAGGGACGAGTGAAAACAACTGCATCCTAGTCCGGAATGCACTTTCTACCAGTTTATCCATGGACCGAGGACTAGCTGGCATGGCTGCACGGCGGTTTTTTGGACAGGTGCATGGACAAGAGGCATTGTGGTCTGCTTATTTCTGCAAATAGCGATGCTTAAATTTAGTGGAATGGACAAGAATTTCACCTGGTCAGTACACTGCATGGTTCAGTTCAGCATTCCAGCTGAGACCACAATTATAATTGGTTATTCTAGAATGAGAGAACCTAACCCTGGATGGTGACAACAACAAAAAACCAGAGTGAACTCCAGGAAATTTAAGCCTGCTGGGAGGCCCTTTGCTCAGAGAAGCCTTGCTTGTTTTTTCCTAACTAGTTGACTCGTTGCGCCAAATGGCGCAGAGACCTGCTGAAGACATGTTATCGATGAAAAGAGTTTCATGCTGCAAGAACCTTCAACTAAATCATGGTATTTTGTAAACATGTTTATTGCGTTGTTAAATAATAGTCTGGGAAAAGGGAAATTTTGCATAATATGAATATGTTCAATTTGAAAAAATGGCCACTATGATGAGAGAGTAAAGTTGGCATGGTTGTATTTTTTTAGCAAGTTTGAAAACATGGTGATCATAATGAAAAATCTGGCCATGCATATATTTCTTGGAAAAAAAGAGGGGGAAAGATAACCCTAGTTGACCCGTTGCGCCAAATGGCGCAGAGACCCGCTAAAGCCATGTTGTCGATGAAAATAGTTTCATTTTGCAAGGACATATTCGATATTGGTAGTAGAAAGGCCATGTTTTAAATCATATTATATTGAAAACATGTTTATTCCATGTGCGCGATGAAAAGATATTCAAGGTTTAGTTGTGGGCAAGCACATATGGCAACAAATTTAATCTCCTTTATTCTGGATAAACGGTAGCTTGTCGTTGCGCCAAATGGCGCAGAGGCACGCTCAATCCATGTTTGCGATGAAAAAAATATCCATGGTTGAATCCCTTTTAATATGAAACATGATGGATTCGTGTCTATAATTAGATATATATATGCACATTTTATTTTGGTAGCAGTCCCATTTAAAACAAAATAGAGTTTTTGGGTTGGCCGCTTGGAGTAGAAACGTTGGGTCAAATAGCGCAGAGTCCCATTTAAAACCATGGGCGCATTGAAAATACTTGATTTTTTTTGTAATTTTAGTTGTGAGTAACCACTTGATACCAACGCAAATCATTTTAATCGAAACTTAATAATGATTTCTCTTTACAAATATTTACGTACTTGAGCATGCACAATTTGTAATCAATTACATTTTTAAACATGAGATTGAAGTAGCTAACATTTTGCATTTAAGATAGCATATGATGAGATAGGAACAAAAGTTTGGTTCTTCCTGAGACTCACCAAATTTCAATACACACATACACTAATACACAGACCCAACAAAATCAGATTAGTGGTTTCAAATAGTTGAGCCTGCAATTAGAAAGTCCAAGGAGTTATGAACTTGTGCACTAAAAAAAGTAAACATATTTGACAATAAAATGTACTTAATACATGATAAACATTGTGTACAAGAGAATGGCCAATTACATCATATAATTTGGTTCTATACAAAAGGAAATTTCCTCTTTTGTGTACATCCTAAAGACCACCCCCTTGTGATGAACGCTTTATCCTTCGAGTCAAATGGCACAGCTCCTATCCTTTGTGGCAAAATAATACCCATCAATGGCACATTTGTTGGAAAAAGAATATATTTCTCAACACCAAACAAACTAAGAAAAACATTTCAACACTAAAATAAAACTGCATCAAGCACAATGGTTCCACTATACTATGTCGACGCCTAATTGCTAATTTACATTTTACGATTGATGGATCAAACAACATATAAAGAATCACGTTTGAAGTATATCAAAAGCTTGTAGCTTGATAAGAGAAAACAAAACAAGACACATGAGACTTGTAGGACATATATTTCTCAAAGAACACAACCGAACCTTAGTGTGCAAAGATCATAGTGCTCGACCACCAAACCTTGAACTGGTTAAAGTACAAACAAAATTAATCCCGTCATAGAATAAAACCATTATGACCTACTAAATCCAACCTGACAAAATAATCCACAGAACATTTGATGTGTCGTTAATTGCTAGTTGTTATTTTTTTGGAAAAAAACCATGGCGCAACATATCTTGTATTGCCATTTACAGAACAAAGGAAATTCAAGCAATATTTTAACATTCAATTTATCTTCCATCCTAATGATAGCCTCATACAGCGCCACATCTCTAAGCTTGAGCTTTTGAAAAATACCATACAAATATGTTAGATGGGTGCAAACGCTTCTATTCTCGTTACTAATTTGTTGCAATGCAAATTTGTAAGATATACATACAATTCCAGCTAGAAATACACTGACAAATTGCCATTGAAATCATCATAGGAAATTAAGAACAAGTTCCACCTTTTTCTTGAAAGAAAATAAAGAAAGAAAGAACATACTGGAATTTTAATATGAGTAGCAAAGAGGTGGAGAACCATAATCCTTCTTCAGGCAGACACAACAGCGGACGGCTTGGTGCCTGTTGAGGAACGTGTGACATTATGTGATTAACCTCTTGGCAGATGAGCATGCATGAAGAACATCAATACAAAAAGTGATATAAAATATTAAGAAGTTTTAGGTTCATTTATGTTATTTGAAGCCAAAATGTCCTAGCCAAAGCGAGTTGTAGAACAAACATTCCAGGTTTCTTTTGGAAGCCACAAGAACAAACTGCCTCGGTTTGTACATGATAACATATGAAACATTAAAAAAGCAGAGAAGCAAGATCTATAGTGTTCCCATCAACCATTGAAAGATTTAATTAGGAATGAATTAGTTGTGCACACAGTAAAGAGTCAAAGCTTAAAAACAATCAAAACATATTTAGTCAAATCAGCAGCAATATGAAATTACAACTACCATGATATTTTTAGAAACCAATCTTGCAAGCGAAGCAGGATAATTGCCACAATCCTCTAGGAATTCATGGCCCCACCTAGCTAGTATCAACAAACGCCAAAAGTTGGTGATCCCATGAATGTATTAAGTGATTGTCTTAAAAGTTTGTACTAGACCTCACACAATATCCCTGCAAAAATTGGACAAACTGAAACTACTAATACTTTGAACTTGCACAAAACTGAAAGGTACCATTTTTATTCAAGCTACATTTACAGGCTGCTTTTTAGTTACAGAAAGTTGGGAGACACATAATCAAAGCAAGCCCGCAGATAGTGATAGATGAGGCAGAACAACTACTACGATCCAGTCTCAACATATCAATTACGATGGATGGGTTGTACAGTGGTTGCAATACATTTGAAAATATCAGCAGCGAGATGTTTAGCTCAACCGTTCTATTATGCAATTGCAGAGAGCAAAATAAGTTAATTTTACATGAGCATCAAGGAGTATAACTGGTCCATGAGATATTCCGAAGTCGACATCTGCAGTACAATGCTTTGCTGCTTTGGTTTCCTCAGTTTGTGTAGCAAGCAGAGGATGCATCCCTACAGAGAATAATCACCTAATTAAATTTTGTGCAGTTAATTTGGAACATACTAATGCAGAGAGCAAAATAAGTTAACTTTACATGGGAGTCAAGGAGTATAACTCATCCATGAAATATCCTGAAGTCAAAAGCTGTTGTACAATGCTTTCCCATCACTTTGATTTCCTCAGTTTGCATAGCAAGAGGAGGATGCATTCCTACAAAGAACAGTCACCTAACTTAACTTTTGTGTTGATCAAGTTTGGTACGGAATGAACTGCTAAGGCTATCTTTGGTACGATTCTCAAGTAACCCTATTGACCTGGAAAAGCTTTTGAAATTTTAGATGTGTTGAAGCATAGAAGCTCGATAACAAATTAGAGATTACAATGCGGAAGCATTAGTCATTATGTGCATTAAGACTGACCTTGATGCCTCCAAACTTCTGCAACATTAAGAAGATGTCTTTGCCTCTGTTTGAGTAGAAATATGGTCCATCAGTTTGCAGAAAAGGAAAGATAATAAACAAGATACATTTGAAGCTTGAACAACAGATTTACACTATGAAGAAAGCAAAAAAAAATCTTTCTACTAACATCGTTGGGAAGACATGAACATCTACATTAGGTTTCACATGGCATTAAATTAAACAAAGGTAACCAGTTAAATTCCAAACCAATGTAGAATCTCAGCTTTACACGGTAAATCTAAACCATTTGTTCATCACACAAAAATTAGGAGCCAGTAGCAAGGATGGGGACCTAATATCATCTGCAGCAGTAGCTCACAAGAGTCGGAACCTGCGAGCGCGGATCATGAATGTCAACGAACAATATAGCCTGCAGTTCTTTCTTCCTTATCATGTTGGGAGCAAAGCCCATAATACCATATCACTATAGCTTGTGAATAATAAGCTCACAAAAAAGTATAATTGTCCAGGGAAACTTGGTTTTCAATTTTAAAGTTATAACAGAACATTTGGTCGCAACAAATATGAATGATTGGGTTTAAATCCTGAAAAAGTAGATTTCGCTCAATTTCTTAAAGCCATGGACCTAGTTCAATTACAATAGACTAATCATTGTTTAGGCAGACCATGAGAAGTCAGATTCCACTTACAAAAATACATTAAAGAACCTGCAGTTGAATGCAGACAAAACTGAATTTGGCTCCAGCCTACAAATAGCAAGGATTAAGTGGAGAGAACAAGGCAGCTGGCCAGGCTGCCGCATGGAGCTAGGTAGAGAAAGGTGACTTACTAACATCACTAAAAGAAGGAGCTTACCTAGGTCGAGGTCGGAGGACGCGCTACCATGGTTGCTGATACACGAACTCCGTCCAGATCTCCTCATGCTATTTGAAGCTGCTGGTGGATCCACCTTTCTTCATTCTTCACTGGTTTCCAGCGGTTGTAGCTTCAAAATGTGTGGAACTCACTGGAACACAAAATGAGATAATACATTTTTTGAAAAAACATGAAGTTGTTGTAATTCCCATAATGTCTCAACTGAATTTAACTGAAGAACAAAGGCGACACTACTGGCTCCTCGTATTAAACAAATTTAACTGAAGAACAAAGGCAACACTACAAGTTCCTCATTTCAACTGAATTTAACTAATCTCATAGTAGTATTTTGGGGTACTCGTAACACTGCTGCTCACCGTGTACCATGGACCCATGGGGAAGATGTGCGTCAGATGGGGAGGTGGCCGGCATGCCTGCGGGGAGGTGGACGGCGCACGGCGGCGAGACCGGGCCACAGGTCTGAGTGCATCCATCACCACCGGCAAGCAGCCGAGCTGCTCCCATGTGACCATGTCACTCCTGGCCTCTCCTGCGCCAGATCGAGGCCATGCTCCTGGAGCCCTCAAAAAGAGAGGAAGAGGAGGTGAGGCGGGAAGGAATATGGGCAGAAGGGTAGCTCACAAGAGTCGGAACCTGCGAGCACAGCGTCGACGACGGGGCCGGTGGATCTGCAAGCGCCATGGCCACCTGACCCGCTTGCTACCCCTCTTCTCTTCCCTTCCCTCCCTTCCCTTCTGAAAACGGGAGGGGGGAGGTTGTGGGTGGAGGCTGGCCGGAGGAGACGGGCGCGAGTGGCGGCGGACTAGGTTTTCCCACCAATGGCGGCTGGCCAGGGAGAGAGATCGAGGAGGGAGGGAGCGGTGTGGGCGAGGGGATTGGGCGTGGGGCAGGGAGGGAGTGGTGCGGGCGGGGGGATTGGGCGAGGCCTGCCCCACACTCCCGCAGATGGCACGGCGCGCATGCGGCGGGCGGGGAGAGGGTGATTCTGCACCTCGAATTAGTTCGCCCAGCCAACATGGGCGCTGCAATAGCCCACCAGTCATTGGCTATACAAAGTCATCGTGCAGTAAAAACGAGCAGTGAAACAGCCAGCGAACATCCAACGCCTGAAACAAAGTCAAAGATCGGACTTCAGAAGATCAAACGGCCAACGAAGCCTGCCATCGAGGGAGCTCCCTGGTAGCGAGTTGGCTAGCCTCTATTATGTTTTAAATTTGTAAACCTTCTCACTACTTTGTCTTTTGCTATGAACTAGTATATGTTTGTTATGTTCTATGAATCATTGAGATGTATAAAATTGCTTAACTTACGCTTTTCAAGTTTTTTATGAAGGCGAGTTTAATATTAGTGTTTCACATGAGCGCTGGACTAGCGTGTAAACGTTTGGAATTTACATTGTTGCCTCAATTAACTGCATGAACCACTGTAACAAGATACATAGTTGCTTATATGTCAGACAGCAGATTGTTGATTGTTAGCTGGTCGATAGCCTAGTGTTGAAGCGAGCTGAGCCAATATGCCGTGTTTTGCACAACTGCTTACAAGTGGGGTAGCACCAACAGTGTTTACAAGTACTTATGTATACATCGGCGCACAGTTCTCGAGTGAGTGCTCTATTTCATCAAAACACACACTGCTCGTATGATAAACCGTGACAACTTATGTCTTACCATGCCATATTCATGAAAAAACTAGTGACACTACAAAAAAAATACACTTCCGTGATGATACATGTTTGTCACAGTAGGTCGCGTTTTTTGGCATGCATGTACATCCATGACAATTTTATGATAGAATCAAGATAGTCATACCTTTGCTGTCGTAGAAGTGTTCCATGACATTACCAAAATTATCATCACGAAAGTGTCCACTTCCATGATGATAAATCGCGCGTCACAGAAGTGCTTTCATCAAGGGTGACCGACACGTGGCATCCACCATAACGGAAATCCGTTAAGCTATCGGGTCGGGTTTTGGATCCGATAACCCGCTAATAGCCACGACCAAATGGGATTTTCTACGTGTAAAATCATCATTGGGTGGAGGAAGCACGTGTTAGCTCATCACTGGGACATATGTCATCCACTCACTAGACAGAAGGCGCCTATGATACGTCGACACGTGGCACGGCCCAACAGTGGCCCATTCCTATGAAAAGGCCGGCCCGTTTGACTTGGTCAAAAGCTGGTGGGCCAGCCCATGGAAAGCCTGTTAACGGCCTGTTAGCATATAGCCCATTTACAACCCGCTAACCCAAGGCCCGTTACGCCCTATGTGAATTAGGCCCAGTAGCGTCGTCTGGGCCACCCAATATGATTCCAACCCGTTTTCACTTCTGGCCCATGTATAGCCATGACGTCTTTCGGCCCATATGAGGCCCTTTGTAACTCTTGGCCCATTAGCGGCCCGTGCTGAAACTGGCCCGTAATGAACAGTGTATTACTTTACACCCATTAACGGCCCGCCGTGAAACTAGCCCGTAATGAAAAGTGTAACACTTTATACACATTAACGGGCCGTAATTCCGTTGGGCCGTTTCCAATCCAAGTTAACTTTCGGCCTTCTGAGGGCCCATTTATTCTTGGGCTCATTTGCAGCATTCGGTTACTTATGGCCCGTTACTTTCATTTTCTGCTTGTGGGCCAAATTCAGCCCGTCGTTACAGTCGGCCCGTTTGTGGACCGTTAGTCTGTTAGGCCATTTTCATAGCATCACCAAATACGGCCTATTAACGGCGCGTTATGGTCAGCCCATAAAACATACAATTTCCATTAAAGGCCCATCTACAGCCCATTAAAGGCCCGTACAAGACCCATAAATGAGTCAGCGGCCCATGGATCCTACAAGACGTAGAAGGCCCATGGATCCTATGAGACATTGAAGGCCCATGGATCCTACGAGACGTAGAAGGCCCCTGGATCCGACGAGATGTAGAAGGCCCATGGATCCGACGGCCCGTGAAGGGCCATGGTCAGGAGAGTTGACCCCCGTTTGAACGATATAGCATATTCAAAGAATTATCCTAGTCAATAGTATCACCTCTAAAAAGCATACACTATACAACAAAGAGATCAAGGCATAGAAAGGTAGAATAGTCCTACACTATACAATAAAGAAATTACAGCCGATTATACCCACTAGCATTATGGTTCGGCACAGGTGATAATAAAGCATACACAAACAGCAAATTACATACACTGGGCAAATACAGCTCATACATCATGGACGCGCATCAACTTAACTCCATTTCAACTATAATATCTTCAGAAAATAGGATTGGCCGGATTCAGATAGCACAAATTTCAGTCTGCAAAATCTCCAATTCGTTCATGGTTACCTCGGTGTCTTGTTACATTTTTTTGACTCCTGCATCTAATACCTGCATGTCTTGTCTCAACTTGTTGATTATACATTGACAATCATGTACATGTTGTCTTTCCACCTCTAGTTGATGCTCGAGAACATCAACACATTCCGATTCCAATCCATAATCATTTGGTAACGGCCATGCCGCATTGCTCATAGATTTTTGTGTTGATGTCACTTCATCCTGAAATATTTCTGTAAGTACACATGACTAGGGCAAAAATATAGTTACAACAGTGAAGCGAACAAGAAACTATTTTGTACTACATGGCAAAACAGGACTAACAACACTACTAGCAAAAGGGCTATAGATGATATGGACACTAATGGCGCACCAGACATGTGGTGCGCCACTACTATATACTAATGGCGCGCCATGTGTTGGTGCACCATTAGAGTCCAAATACTAATGGCGCACCACATCCACGGTGTGCCATTAGTAACAATTTTTTTTTATTTTTTTTTCAAAACTAGTAATGGCAAACCAGGGGATAGTGCGCCATTACTAGTTAAACTAGTAATGGCGCACCAGATCCACGGTGCGTCACTAGTAATTTTTGTTCAAATTTTTTTTAAATTTTTTTATTTTTTTTTCAAAACTAGTAATGGCGCACCAGGAGATAGTGCGCCATTACTAGTTAAAACTAGTAATGGCGCACCACATCCATGGTGCGCCACTAGTAAAAAAATTTCAATTTTTTTTCAAAACTAGTAATGGCGCACCGTGTGTGTGGTGCGCCATTACTAGTTGAACTAGTAATGGCGTACCACTCCCACGGTGCGCCATTATTAGCTTTGACCAAAAATCCCCCGAATGCACCCCCCCTTGGACCGCCTTTTCAGTTTAAAAAATAAAAGAAAATGATGGAAATATCAAAAAAAATAAAAGAAAATTAGTTTCCCATGTGATATGTCATCTAGTTGTTGGGAAAATTTACAAATATGAATTTCGAGTTTATTTGCAAAATTTCTCTGGAAATTTGTAAAATGGGCATAACTTTTGCATACGAACTCGGATTAAAAAGTTTTTTTATGAAAAATCATCTACTCGAAAAGTTACGGGGCTTTCAAGATCTAGAGGCAAAAAATTTCAAAAAAATTCAAACTTACTAGTGGCGCACCGTTTGCTAGGTGCGCCACTAGTAACAGAAAATGGTTTCGATTTTATTTTGATTTTTTTTCAAAAAATGATACGTAATATGACCGGGAAGTTTGAAATATTTTTTAAAATTTCATCATAGTCATGAATATGAACAAAGTCCTAGACATCAACAAGGTATAATAGGATTGATATGATAGATATATCAATAAGTGCCTGTTAAGTGAGGTGGTGCTGGGTTTGGATAGAACTGCGAAGTTAAGCGTGCTCGGGCTGGAGTAGTGTGAGGATGGGTGATCTTCCGGGAAGTTTGACCACTTAGTGTGATTTGACTGGAGATTAAGCATATTGACCCGAGATTAAGCCATAGTGACCCGAGACTAAGAAAAAAACGAAAAAAATATGAAAAACAAATAAAAAATAAATTCTGAAAAAAAAATTGAAAAAAAATGTTACTAATGGCGCACTTACTTGTGGTACTAATGGCCCCCCGTGAGCTATACTAATGGTGCACTGCCTGGTGCGCCATTAGAATACCAGATACTAATGGCGCACCAGTGGTGCGCCATTAGTATTTAATACTAGTGGTGTGGTACTAGTGGCATACCAGTAGTGCGCCATTAGTAGGCAAAATTGGTGCGCCACTAGTAGGCCTTTTCCTAGTAGTGCAATAATGTTACACGTCACTTTCACAAAAAAATGTTACACATCATGAAGCATAAGCAGGTGATATTTTAAAAATTATAAAAAAGATAGTCTATGCAGCCTGCATACAGAAATCCCTCTTACCTCACCAGAGGAGCATGATGTTGGGGCCCAATCGAAAACACAGACAAGTTACAAATTTAGACAGCATGTTGCGTATAAGTAAGCAATCAGTTGGCCATTCTGTACCTCAATTAAAGTCTTAGGGAGCATAATGAACAGCAGAGCGTTTCATACAAACATACTACAATAGGCAAAACTATGCAATCATTAGCGTAGTATAAATTAGATTGTGAGCCTCATGCAATAATAGTTGGTTAATAGACTTCAAAGCTTCAGGCACACTTCGACAGAGTAATTAAATGGTAAGGCCTTTAATTATGTCAACTAATAGTGATACAAGTACCGAACATCAGGCATGATTATTTGGGCATCTCATTAACTGAGGACAAATAAAGCAATTGAAAAGAGAAAATTAACTATGCCTCAAACAAACAAGGAATTGAACTGTTGAGTTGCATACAGTGACTTACCTTAGCAGGTTGAAGAGGCTCAGCGCAGCTCCTACTTCTCTTGCAAGGCTCCTTCCTAACATCTTGTACTTGGAAATCCTCAATCTTATCTTCATTGCACCCC